AATGGGCTTGGTTTAACGGCACGGGGATGATCAACGGCGAAGACCTCGTCAACGACGGATTGACGGATGATGAGGCCTGCACGAATAACGGCCAGCCGGTCTGGTCGTATAATCAAGGTGTCGTCATCGCCGGTCTGGTGCAGTTGTCGGCGGCGACGGATGACGTGTCGTATCTGGATGCTGCCGTGTCCATTGCCGACGCCGTCTTGAACGATTCTTCTGGCCTGTCGCCAGAGGGGATCCTGACGGAATATTCATGCGCCACGCCCGACGAATGCGAGCCTAATGGGACGGCGTTCAAGGGGACGTTTATCCGGGGGTTGAGAAAGTTGGATGATGCGTTGGAGGGACATCCGTATAGGGATTATATCGAGAAGAATGCGCAGGCGGCGTATGATGATGCGAGGAGTGATAACGGGACGGACTTTTATGGTTTCGCTTGGCAGGGACCGTTTGATCAGGCGACTGTCGGGAGGCAGGCTTCTGCTGTGAATTTACTTCTTGCTACGTTGTAGGGGCTGACATGTTTTTCTAAAAAGAAAATATATATATATATTAAAAGGAGAGAGATAGAGGGAGAGAGTATGATTTTGGATCATTTACCTACTTGCTTCAGCATCAATCATATTTCTGTTGAGAAAAAAAAGTAATGTGTGATGGGTAAGTATGTATCTGGATATAGGGGTGGTATACATGGAGATAGATTTCTCTCATCAGAATTGGCTTTCACTGCTTTCCTTTCCTGTAGTCTGGCTCTTTAAGTATTCAATGCCTAATACATGGAATGGCATGGCATATCCTTACCAAGATCACGTACGAGTACCAATAAGGGGTAACTGTCTTGTCCTTTATCTAGTCCCCCCTTTCCCCAACTCGGAGGTTCAGAATCACACATATGTACCACGCGAGACTTTGGTTACACACTTAGGTACCTAAGGTACTCTTAAGAATCATCTAGGTATTTACATATAGAGGGAAGAGATGGATGAGTTTAGATTCCCCTGATACTTACATACTTGGGATCTGTGTCCTACCTAACTAACGTAACCCAAGCCCCCCTATTCACCCCCACCCCACCTTATACCCTCAAAAGTACCTACTTATACCAGGTGAGGTATCGGGTATATGCGATGATTAACTACCATATCTATTAATATTACAACCCACCCCCAACCTAACCAAGTCCTCCATCTTTCTTTCTAACCCAAGCTCAATTACTTCCCATCATCATCAGCAGCAGCCTCAAGTAATCTTCGTAAGCCTAACAAAACACTGCACCGGACTCGTCGTGATAGCATCAAACGCCTCCCTGGAGCTCAACCCGTCCGGCAATTTCTCAAACCGGAAATTCCACACCAACAAAGCCAGGACGATCCTGGTTTCCAGATACGCGAGTCTCTTGCCGAAACACATCCTAGGCCCAAGACTGAAAGCAAGCAAAGGACCTGCTTTCGGATCGAATGTCTCTTCTTTGCCTTCGGGGTTAGAGGGGGGGGGGGTTTTTAGCCATCTTTCCGGTTTGAAGAGATGCATGTCTTGAGGGTCCCATTCACCGTGTGTATTTGTACTCGTAGTGGATTTTTCAGCAGTAGTGGAATTGGGTAAGGGGAGAGGTAGGGGTATAGAAGGTGACTGATAACTAGGACCGTCGGAGACGAAGAATACAGCCGTACCGGCCGGGACGACGTGGCCGAGGATTTGCGTGTCGGTTACGGCTTCGCGGACGGTTACGGGGATGGGACTGTTGAAGCGGAAGGATTCTTCTAATACGGCGTCGAGGTAGGGGATGGGGGTTTTGCAGATTTCCGAGGCCGTTGGTTGGTGGTGGTGGTGGTTTGATGGGTAGGCTTTTTGGAGGGCGGTGCGGAGGTTTGTTTGGATGGCGGGGTAGTCGGCCATGTTTTTTATCATCCCTGTGTTTTTTTAAAAAAATTTGTTAATAAGTAAGTTGTGATGGGATGAGGTGTGTCATGTCATGATATCGGAAAGGGGAAGAAAGGAAAAAAAGGGGGTTGACTTGACTTACATGCTAATGCTGTAGAAGTAGTATCGTGTCCGCCGATAATGTATCCGAAAAGCTGCAAGTATAAAATAATTAATACCCTACTTCCCCTTTATTTCCGTCCAGACGGGCACAAATCAAAGTTTGTAAACTCACCTCATCATGAATCCTCGGCGCATGAAAAACCGGTTCCCTCCCCTCTTTCTCAGCCAGGTTCATCTCTCTACTCAGGATGAAATCCATCGCAGATCTCATCTTCTCCTTCCCATTCCCATTTCCTTTCTTTAACCTCTCGACCGCATTATCAATCTCCCGATGTAAAAACTCATTCTTCCTTTTGAAATTCCTCCTCAAATCCCCATTCGTCAACATGTTAATCTTGTGCGCGAGAAGTGGGAAGGGAGCCTTGAATTGTTCGCCTAGATATCGACTGACTTCCTCTACGGCGGCGATGTCGGCAAGTTGTGGTAGAGAGGGGAAGGATGCCACAATATCCGATTCCGATTCCGATTCTCGCTCTGATTTGGAAGGGGTTGTTGTTGTTGTTGTTGTTGTTGATGATGATGATGCCCGTAAATGATCGAGTTGATGTTTCACCGTACTCTGCTCATCACCAATACCAAACGCCGCCGCATTAATGATATCCATAGCCGCATCGGAAATATCTCGTTGCGCATCAAACGGCTTTCCCCTTCCCAGAGAGGTCTTGAGAGTCCAGAGATCTATAAGAGTCATGGTTTTGGCGTGGATTTCGGGAGCGGAAACCTATTTTGTCATCATCAGTCTTCTTGCCTTCGTTTCCTTCCCTTGAAACGTACGTTTCAAACAAAGATAATAAGGGAAGAAAAAAAAAAAAAAAAGGAAACAAACCTCATGCAAAAACCCCGGCGTCATCAAATCCCTAACCAGCTCCCTATTCCCCTTAAACCGTCCATCCTTACTCGGCATACTAATATGATGTTCCGGAATGACCGTCTTGAAAGCAGTCGTAGCTTTATCCCCCTTATCGAATTCGCGGAATCGTCTGAGTAGGATATCCTGCGTTTCTCTAAAATCCGCCAATATCAAAGACGGTAAGCCCAATGGGGTGAGAAAAACCTGCGTTAATGCCGACTGGTGTTTTTCCACATGTCGGCGGAAGAATGGTCGTGATCGTCCGGTTTCTTTGAGCATTTTTACGAGCTCGGGGATGTTGCCTAGGATGTTTCTACTTGCCGGTTCGTCGTAGGGGATTCCTGGTATGGGTTTGGGGAGCATGTAGGTGTATATTCTGTAGAGGATCGCTCCGACGAGGAGGAGGATGAGGGCTGGAAGGGTGTATGGTGCCATCATGATGGACGATGTGTTCTGGATTTGTGCTGTTGTTTGGTTTCACTTTCTCTACTCGAGGTTCAGGTTCAATATCTACCCATGTTCTAGCTTACCTAGGTAGGTAGGTCGTGTACTCAGTCGTAAAGGACAAAGAAACTCTCACATTTCAACATATGGCTATCCGTCATCCTTTATGTATATAACCCAACTTACTATCCCTAGTCTCAAACCCCAGTGCCCCCCTCCCTTGTCATCCATCGTTTGGGAAAAGTGGCTTGTAAATGTGATACCCTTGTCTAGGTAGGTACCTATCTAGCTAGATCCCAAGCTTACATACTTGGCCTTGATTAGGTTAAGTAAGTACGAGTACGTGTCCTCTGCCTAAGCCCTCTTGTTTCTTCTTCTTCTTCTTCAATATCAAAGAATGAAAAGATATATATCGTTTGTAGTTACAAATAATTACAGTAGCAAACTTCCAAGACTAAAACCGTTGAACTAGGTTAGCTCATAAGGTAATACTAGGTAGGTAGGTTACCTAAGTCAGGTATTCAGCCCAGATTCTGGATACCTAACCTCATGTACTTGCCGAGTCCCGACCTACCGGTTCAATATCACACCAAGAGAGAACCTTTTCCTACGTAAAACGAAAACATTACTAGGATACCAAAGGTAGTCAGTCTATAGGTACTTAATTACCTCTAGCTCTAGCGAAGTTATAACAATAACGACTACTTCTCAACAAACCATCTCAATTACCCAGTTAAACTTATGTACTTGTCTTGTACAGTTGTCAGTCGACATAATCTGGAGTCGGGATAATTCAATCCAATCCCACCACCGGCAAGTTCTATTCATCCATCCACCCCCTGTCTACTCCACTACCCCACTATATATCATTCCAAAGCAAGTACCTAACAAAAAGCGCCATGATATAAACTGATCTGAGACCTATACCTTCGCACTCGTACTCGTAACTAAGACAAGGATATTTTTAAGATCTAGCTAGCCTAGGATCCCAGTGGATATAAAATCAACCCTGTTGGTTTGCTCGGACCCGAACATTTCAACAAGAACAAGGACAAGTGCGAGGAGACAAGGCAAGACAGAATCCGGCGCATAATGTGTCTCGATTAGGCTTAGCGTAGGTATTATCTATCTACCTACCTAGGTTACTCCTTAACCGCGACCGCCGGGCCCCGCCGGGGATATACGTGTAGGTAATTCCTATTATTTCTCCGGGACAAACAAAGTTCTATAAACACCTACTTGTAGGATATACACGTACTTGTTCTACAGGCATAGTCTATATAGTCTAAACATCTATAACATTTTCACCTAAAGTCTGTAGGCACGGGGGCACAGCACCGTATCAAGAAAAAAAAAAAACAAGAGAGCATAAGTACAAGTAGGTCACAGGTGAGTAGGTAAGTACCTAAGTAAGCACTACTCTCTCGCACCAGGCAACCACGGAGACTTTCTTTCTTTCTTTCTTTCCTTCCTTTTTCTGTTATGTGTACACACACAGCCCTTTCTTGACTTTGGTTGCTAGATAAGTATGCTGTAACAGACAGGCCAACTAACAGGTTTATTAGATTTATATAAAAATAAAAGTCTCTATTAACCCATGTTTTAAACCGAGAGAGAAAGAGAGAGAGAGAGAGAGAGAAAAGGAAAAAGAGAAAATAATCTCCGAATCGGGGAATCGAACCCCGGGCTTGACGGTAACTTCAATTATTATTATAATTAATGAGAGCGTCAAATGTTAGCCACTACACCAATTCGGATTGATGAAATTCATGTCATATTAGCGTACTTATCATACTTTTACTCAACAGGAAAAAACGGGGGACACAAGAGGGAGGCAGGCAGGCAGGCAGGCAGCGCTCGCTCCCTTGTTCCCTTGTTTTTTTAAAACTTACCCCCTACCTACGTTAGACTAGACAATGTAGAGATAGGTAGTCCAGCATCACATTCTCGCCTATCTAAAATTATTGATTCCTTTTTGATTCCAGACAGATTATCGTGCTTACGTAGCTCTCAAGAAGAAGTATATCAGAATTTACAACAAGATATTCACGTGTATATTTATTTACAACCCCTCACCTCAACCCAAGAACGAACAAAGAGAAAATGAAAACACAAAGACCGCTTTCCCTGCGTACTGCTCATTACACAGTCCCCATTCCTAACAATACTCGTAACCCCATCCAAAGTAAAAACCATCAAGTTCAACCAACCAACCCTATCTACCTACCTTACTAACTAACCCAGTTCATAAAAGAAAGAAGAACCACCCCATCATCACTTCATCAAACCACGAACCACTAACCACTAACCACACATCCGAATACTCGTCTAGAATCAACGAACAACCATCTGCGTAGTAACCCCAGCACCAGCACCGGTAGTAGTACCATTCCTCGCAACGGGATTATTATTCCTCGTAATAAAGTCTCGGTTCTCAATCGTCACACTCTTGGTCATATGATTGACTTTATACACGCCCACCAGTCGGGCAGCAAGTTCAAACATGTTGTTCCGGAGGGAGATGACGATGAATTGGGCATTCTTGGTGCGTTCCTTGATATAGTTTGCCACGATGGAAACCTAGAAAACAATTAGTTGGATTTATAAATGAGAGGAAAGAAAAAAAGGAAGAAAGAAAAAAAAAAACAAAAAAATCTCACGTTTCGGAAATCCAACGCAGCATCAATCTCATCCATGACATATAGCGGAGTAGGTTTATAATGATGCAGAGCAAAGACGAGCGCCAGAGACGAGAGCGTCTTCTCGCCACCGCTCAGATTGCTAATGTTCTTCCAGCTCTTCTTGGGCGGCATGACGGAGAAGAGGATACCCTCGCTGAAGGGGTCCAGACTGTCGACGAGTTCGAGCTCGGCATTTCCGCCCATGGTGATCATCTGGTACATCTCCTTCAGACGGAGGGAGATGGTGCTGAAGCCTTCCATGAAGCCTTCTAGACGGAGACGGCGCAGATCGTCGCATCGCTTCTTGGCTGCGTCGCGTTGTTGTACGGCGCTCGCGAGATCGGAGGAGCGGGCGCTATGCTCTTCGACGCGGCGGCGGTATTCTGCGAGGACGCTTATGTCGACGTTGACGTTCTGAGTCTTTTCTTCGAGCGCGGCAATCTCGGCTTTGAGTCTCTCCTTGCTCATATCTTTGAGTTCATCTAGTGTGAAGTGTGGGAGCTCTTCGGGTTGTTCATGCTCGTCCGGTGACGCCTCTCGTTTTTGCACCTTGTCGTCCTGCTCACCATCTGCTTCTGCTTCATCACCATCTATCTCCATCGCGTCGCCATCTACCTCCATTGCGTCCGCGTCCGCGTCCGCGTCCGCGTCTGCGTCCGCTTCCCCCTTCTGTTCTGGCGCCTTCTTCTTAGGCGGCCCACCCATCAGATCGCTCACGTTTTGTAAAGTTAGCTTGCCTAGCTTATCATGCCAATAACGCAAGCGCTTCTGATTTTCCACCAGGGCTTTCTGGTTTTCCTCGAGTTGATTGCGCATCTCAATCTCTACCGCCCGGGTCTCGTTGAGTTCGGAAGTCTTTTCGTCCAGTTCGGCCTTCATCGAAGCAAGCTCTCTCTTCTTCTCTCCGAGCGCCTCCTCTGCTGCCTCAACCTGAGCATTGAGCGACTCTGATCTGGTGCCTTGGTTCTCAATTTCTTCGAGGAGCTGCTCCAATTCTTTAGCTGCCGCTTCCAATTCTTTCGTGGCTTTGGCGTGGTCTTTCTGTAGTTTTGTCTTGGACTTTTCCGCCTTGACCTTCTTTACTTCGGCATTAGACATCTCCTCGTTATTGGACGAAATCTCTTCCTTTAGAGCATCGACTGTAGCCCTCTGAGCACGTAATCTTTCACCGCCGACCTCCATAATCTTGTCCTGTAATTCTTTGATCTCGGCTTCCAAGCCTTCCGTCTCGGCATGGAGCTTGGAGAGTTCCCTATTCAACTTGGCAATCTCCTTTTCGAGCGCGGCTTTCCGATTATCGTCAGATTCGGACGGTTGGTGTTCCTTGCCCAACTCCTTGATCCGACGCTGAGCATCGGTGATATTTTTATCGGCGCTCTGCACTTCCAACCTGATCTTCTGCATCTTGGTTTCCAGCTGCGGAATCTGGTCATGCAAGACTCGAAGGCGGCTTTCGTGCTCTCGTTGCTGTTCGAGGAAGTCTTGGAATCGTTTCTCTAGGCTATCACGATCGCCCTCCAACTTGGTCACCTGGTCCATGCTCACTTCTGCCACGAGTTTACTGGACATTAGTCCGCGTTTGACGGTCTTGCCACCACCAGACATGGTACCGCTCTTGTCGATGAGCTCGCCGTCGAGAGTGACGACTCGCCATCTCTTAGCTCCGTATGCGATCCGGTTGGCTTGGGCTAGGTCTTTGGCAACCAAGGTGTCTTGCAGGGCATGGTAGAAAGCAGGACGGAACTTGTCTTCTTTGGCCTTGACGAGGTCAAACAGACGCGGTGCATTCTCGGGCGTCTGGATGGGCTGGAAATCCCGTACGCGCAGCTTGTCAAGACACATAAAGTTGCCTCGACCAAGGTTGGTCTTGCGCAGGTACTCGATGCACTGCTGTCCGGCCTCCACCGTGTCCGTGACAAAATTGTCGAGAGCACCACACGCCGTGGAAATAGCAACGTCGTATTTCTCGTCAATCGCGCCAAGGTTACCTAGTCGACCATGGAAACCGTCGATTCTGCCCGATTCCTTCATGCGCATCAAAGCCGTGAGAACGTTGCCTCTGTTCTGCGTCTGCGACAGACTCGACCGTGCCTCGTCTGCTTTCTGTCTTGCGCGTGACACCTTTTCGCGAACCATGGGCTCCATCTTGGCAAAGTTCTCGATCTCACCTTGGACCTCTTGAGCCTCCTTTTCGAGCTGGACCTTTTCAGCCTGGCACTCCTCGAGCTCGCCAAGCTTTGCTGCCCGGTTCTCTTCGATAGCTGCAATCTTGTTCTTTAGCTCCTCTACCGCCACCGCCCCAGCATTTGCTTTTTCTTGGAGAATGGCTAATTCAGACTCGGCTACGGCAATGGCCGACTGTTTCTGATTAATCTTTTCCTGCCAAGGCTCCAGAGATTTCTGTTTGATAGCGATTTGGTCCGAGAACACTTGCGTCTTGCCTTTCAGACTTTCGCGAATCGTGGCGAGTTCTGCTTCTTCTTTTTGCACCAGATTCTCTAGGCTGGCGATTTCTTCAGCATGCGAGGCGATATCCTGCGTGCATTGCTCGATCGTCTCGTCGGCTTCTGTGGCGGACTGCTCGGCATTGGCAATCGTCTTCTCCAGTTTCTTTTGCTTGTCCGTCAAGAACTTGCGCTTCTCGTCAAATTTGACTCTCTCTTGTTCAAATTTCGACGCTTCCTTGACGAGAGCCTGCGCGCTCTTTTCCTGTGCGTCGCATTCCTTGCTTCCTTTCGCGTACGACCTCTGAAGTTCCTTGATGATACTTTCGCTGCCCTGATGCTTTTCCAGCTCGGCATCAAGCTGCGATTGCATCTGGCTGATCGCTTCCTCCGTCACAGCCACGTTGTCGTTGCACTCGCTGATGTAGAGCTGATATAGGGCTGACTGCTTCAATACAAGATCGTTCTCATCTCGGATGAATGCTAGCGCCTTGTTCTTCTTGTCCTCGAGGCTGTTCTTCTCCTTCTCCACATGCTGTACGCGACCGCTCTTCTCGACACATATTTCGTTGAGCGTCTCGACTTCTGCGGCGGATTCCTCGATCGGGGTCTTGTATTTGGATGTGCCGATGATATCCTCGAGATATTCCAACAGGCCGTCCTCATGTTCGTTGCCAGCCTTGGGCTTCATCTGCGCAATCGATTCTACCTCGCCCTGCAGGATGAGGAAGCGCTTGTGGTCAAGATCCACACCTCGGTCGCGTAGCAACGTAGTCACGGTCGTGAAATTGGATTCCTTGCCGTTGATATAATACTTGCTTGAATTGTTCTTGAATACTTTTCGTGAAATGACGAGTTGAGAGTCGGGAACAACCTCGGTGCCACCGCCAGGCTGCGACGATGTATGTTAGACAGACCACCGCACTCGGAACAAGCAGAGAAGGCAACGTACCAAGTCCATGACCTCTTGGAAGTGCACAGCAACTTCGCAGTGGTCCAAGTCGGGGTAGGCGGCCGAGTTATGTATCAAGGCAGATATCTTGCCCTGTCGCATTTTGCTTGCCCTGAAACCAAACACAAATAACAAAGAGTCGATGACGTTTGATTTTCCAGAGCCGTTGGGACCAACTACGGAAGAAAACGAGGCATGGAACGGGCCGACCTCCTGCCGACCGGCGTAACTCTTGAAGTTGTTAAGGACCAAGTAGGTGATGACAATACGCGGCTTGGGTCCCGTATCTTCAACAACCGGAACCGGTATTTGCCGTGATCTCATCGCGATGTCCATCGGCTTCTCTAATATGGTATCCAGAGGGCGAATGGGCTTCACCTGCGTCAGGGTATCGTCCTCCGTCTTTGTCGGCTCATTGACGGTCTGGCTGGTAATGTCAGCTAGAGGAGTGGCGTAGTGCTCCGACGGCTCTTCGGACGGTGCGGGCGTGGGTATAGGAGCCTCCGTATCTGGTGTAGGGCCCGTGCTGTTCCTCGACGGCGCAACACTTTTGCGCTTCCGTGTAGGGGCCTTCTTGGCAGATTCGGGAGCAACGATAGTAGCTGACGACACCTCGGCATCCTCGGCTACCTCAGTTGACTCTGTTATGGATTCTTCGGGGGCCACGCTCTTTCTTGTCC